ATATATATATATATATATATATATATATATATATATATATATATATATAATTTTTTTTTTTTTAAAGATTCTTAATTTCCCTATGAACCCATAAAAAACAAAGCACTCCTGCAAAAACAAACCAAACCAAACCTTCAATGTTGCTTGGAAATAAACAATCGAACACAAGGCCGCTGGGCCTCAGAGGTTGTGTGTGATGTTGTCTCACAGGAGTGTTCAACCAGCATGAGCAGAACTGGGCTGCAATCACAGTTTTATTTATCTGTAGGATACGAGGCAAGGCTTTTAACTTCTCTGACTCTTCGATTTTGTACACAGTGTTAAAGTGGTTTTTTTTAATTCATCCATAATTCCTCTACACAGAGATACATTAAAATATAAACAGAGGCTAATTCCTTCCAGTCTTTTCTACATCCATGTCTTCACCTACACACATACCCATGTTAACAGTTATATTCTTGGAATAATATTGTATAAAAACCAAGACTAAATTCTTAGCTTTTTTCTGGCTCTAAAAATTTCGGAGATTCTGGGACTAATGAGGGCTAACAATTGCCCTAGCGTCGGTGGAGGTGGCAGAGCTGAGAGCGTGTGGCAAGCACGCGCTGACGCAGACGGCTGGGGAAGGGCTTGTGTGGGCCCCCGCACGTCCAGGTGGCTGAGAGTTGGCCCGCACAGGGCGAGGTAGGCGGGCAGGAGCCGGCTGAAGAGGAGCGGACCAGAGGCGAGGGCAGCTCCGGGGGCGCTCTGCAGGGAAAGAATCGCCGCGAGGAGAGAACGTGCAGCCCAGGGGGACAGGTAGAGACTCCAATCAAAGCAGCCAAGGCAGAAAGTCACGAATCACCCCAAGAATCAGCAAGAGTAAAGCGAACTGGAAAAGTGGGAAGTCTCTTGCACCAGGAGTGGGGCTGATTCAGGCTTTCTGCTGAGCAATGTGGAAACAGCTATCACAAGCCTTAAAAATAAGGACAGACGCTTTGTGACCCACTAAGGGCCTTGGCAAATTGGGTCCTAATTTTTCTGCCCTTCCTGAACCTATGACTTTGCCATGTACCCTGCCTTGTGAGTAGGGCAGACGCCCTGACCCTTGACACTGGGCTCAGTCATATGACTTGCTTTATGGTTAGTACATGTAATATAAGCAGGGACTTGAAAAGCATGAGTACGAATGAGCTTGCCATGTCTCTGTCAGTGGCATGAGCCCAATCTTGGGCCAGCCTGCTAGAGAACAAGAAATAGTGAAGTTCTCCCAGGTGCCCCAGCCCCAGCCGGCCTAGATCAGCCAACAGCCAGCCGATCAATTCCCAGGCATGAGAACAGGTCCATCTAAGGTCAGCCAAGCCAGCTAACAGACCTCCAGCTGACCGGTCCTGTGAGCAGTAATGCCTATCATTCGTGTCACAGATGTTTCCTTTGCTTTGCAGTATTACTGGGGCAATAGATCACTAACACCCCCATCAGCTCCACATCTAAAACTCTGTCCAAAATGAATCAGCATAGATATGTACAAAGATTCAACTACATGTATTACATCATTGCTTACAATTCCAAAAATAAACTTACAATACAGTAGAGGGGATCAGTTAATTATATCATGCTCCATCTGTATAATGAAGTACCACCCAGCCATTGTATGTTGTAGAAAAGCATTTACAAAGATTAAAAAATTAATATGTATTAAATTGCTCGTTAAGTGATATACAGAATGATCTTATATTTGTAAATACATATAATTAGAACAACAACAACAAAAAAAGACTACAGCATAAGCACCAAAGTATTAGCAGTTGTTTTCTCTGGGTGGTGTGCTTATTGGAGATATTTTACATTCTTGACTTATCTAGATATGTGCCATGTCTACAGTAAACATGTGTGTCTTTAGAAATATTTTTGAAGGACTGTTGAAAATTAAAAAGAAAACCTTCAGAAGGCAAGGCCCTAGTAGTGTTTATGGAAACACGAGGGAAGAATCATGCTCCACCTGTATTAATGGATTAATCCGGACCGAGACCAATCGGGAGCCCAAGCCGCAGAGATGGAGGGGCCGAGGAGGCAGACGCTGGCAGACAAGATCTGATCCGGGCGAGAGCTGCTCTTTTACCTGACTCTCTCCATTTCCTCCGCTTAATTTGGGAATGGGGAGGAAAAGGACAGCTGCATTATTAATGCATTAATTATGGTAATATTCTGTGCACGACTAATACATGTCAAACCATCCTTATGCCAAATTGAAAACTGACATTTTGGCTTCATGAATATTGCTCCGTCGGTGACATTTATTGTACGTTCCCAATCTTGCAACAGTGAATGTCAGGTCAACTATCAAGCGCTTGCTTTCCTTCCACTTTGCTTCCTGTTTTAAAGCGCTGGGCTGTCACTGTTAATTGGGATGCAAAGTCAGGTTGCGCTAGGACCGTCTGAGGCCTCCTGCTTCCTGTACAGCTTGCTTTGGCCCCTGGGAAACTGCTCTGCATCCATGCCGTCTGTCTACCCTTGTCTTCTCCTTCGTCCTACCTAAGCCTGAAGTCACCACCACCACCCCCGTCTACCTTGTTTCTATTTTTCTGTTTCCCTTTTCTTCAGGACACTCTTCATCACCTCGAATGTGATCTGTTTATTACATGTTGTTGCTTGTCTTACTATTAGAATATGAGCTCTCTGAGGCAGGACTTTTTGTTTTTTCCACTGCTACATTCCCAGAACCTAAGGTAATCCTAGCACATAGTAGGTGCTCAATAAATATTTGTTGAGTGAATGAATAAATGAGCCATTTTGCATAAATAGACTTCTTGGAACCCCCAGAGGTGGAGTGTTCCAGCCAAAACTTTTATCCCATTGAAACCATACAATGATTTCCTGAATCGCCAGTTATTAGTGACCTACAAAATGGACTTTTTATAAAAGCTGCTTCATTCTGATGCTCATTTTAATCTCTCATTTCATGTTCACTCTTGAAAACCCTCAACTGCATGTCCTCATCCCTGCTATGTGTCTATCACTGTCCCAGAATCACTCAACTGCCACGTTTCCTAAAAATTTCACCAACTCCCATCTAAACAGTTCCTAAAGCAACCAATAAGCATTTATTCATAATCTACTGTGTTCATCACTGAACTAGGGGGGAACAAAGATGAAAAACATAGCCTCTGATGGCAAAACTGTCAAACACACTTGGGAGAAAAGAAAACTCTGTGAGGTCGTCTGGAAGTTCTACTGTAATTTCAAACTCGCTGTGTCTCAAACTGAATTTATTATATATCTGTCAAGCCTTCTTCTCATTTCCTATGAAAATGACATGTGGTCGATAACATTAATTATATTAATAAAAGCATGAGTCGTTATTATTTAGAAAATAACATTTATCAATGATCACATTGATTATGACCATAGCAATCATCAAAAAGATAAATCATGACTTCTTATCAATAAGAAAATCAAAAAAGAAAATGAAAAGTGTTTTGTATGTTTAAGAAATAACATGTGTGTGTGTGCATAAAGGTTTAAATCAATAAATTGGTGTTCGATAAATAAACAAAATAATATCAAATTGCCTAAGATAGTCACGGGGAACAGGTTACTAAATACATAAGATTGGAGGAATGTAGGAGTGCTCAGGAGGCAGATGAAACAAGCTGGGCCACCGGATGCCTAGCACTGTGCCAGACCTTACAGGAGACACAGAGAAAAAGACATTCCTGCCCTGGCCGGCGTGGCTCAGGTGGCTGAGCACCGTCCCATGCACCAAGAGGTCACCGGGGCAATTCTGGGTCAGGGCACATGCCCAGGTTTCAGGCTCATGCAGGAGGCAGCTGATTGATGTTTCTCTCCCCCTCTCTCTAAAATCAATAAAAACATATTTTTTTAAAAAAGAAAAAGACATTCCCTTTCTGTTCCCTCCAGCCAAACAGGGATGGGGAACCACATGACACCATCTCTACTATGTCAAGAA